TTTCTCATCTTCTTGAGTGCGCAGACTTCGCCCGAATCCTGCTTGCGTGCCAGGAAGACTTCACCATATCCACCCTGCCCGACCTGTGCAATAATATGGAACTGGTCAACCTTGAGCTTCGTACGCCTTCTGCGGAGCAACACGCGTTCGCGACCACAATAGCTCTTGAACTCCTTGGCATACTCCACGGCTTTTAAATCGCGGGCCCTGGTGTCCGCATCAAATCGTGCACGGCGCTCCTTACGCGCGGCGAGGTATCCCAGCGTCTGGAAATAGTAATCCAAGAAATCTGGGAGACCGGATGGGAGACCCACGCAAGGCGAAGCAAGGCAAACTCACACAGCTGGGCAACCGTCGCCTTCCTCCTGACCTCCGTACTCTCCAGCAGTTCCTTCTCCCAAACCTTTTGTACACCGGCCTGCCTCAGTGTCGTCTTCGCTCTCGCCGTGTCCATCGTGATATCGTTACTGTCCACTAGCGGCAACCCCTTTGCTGTGCCCATCTGGACATCAACGTAGCCACCGCCCAGGTTCGACCTTGCGGTGTCCATGTGCACATCTCGGCAGTACGGCATTCCATCATGGGACTTGACCATTCTTGCTGTCGTATTTGAAATTGAATTGAACCGATCAGTTGCACAGCCAGATGCGCGTCGGTCACATGACTAACGCGTCTCTGTCCGGAACCTGATGCACGTCCTGCGCTATCCCCAAGTCGACCTCTCCTCCCTCCTCGCCTCTCCAGAGCCACACATCGACCTCCGCCTCTCCGCCTACGATGCCTCCACCCGCAACTTCCTCAAAGCCGTCTCGTCCTACAAAAACCGGGCTCTCACCACCCTTGCTGAACGACGCGCCTCCCACGCCGCCGAGAAAAAGCGTATACTCGACAGAACACAGGCAGCAGTGACAGAGACGAACCAGTGCAAGCTCCGCGAGATCGATCTTGTCGCGACACTCGAGCGGGAGAAGGAGGAGCGCAAGGATGCAGAACTGGAGGTTGCGGCTTTGAAGAGGCAGCTCGCGTCTCTGCGTGAGAAGAGTGAGATGGTTGGGGCGGAGATTGAGAAGTATCGCGCTTCGACCGCTAATCTTCGCCGGGGTACGTCTTTTCTTGTAATTGGTTTACTTGCTTGCTCACAACAAATACAGAACGTACTACAGAACGCAACACGCTCAGCACGCACGCCGCACACATATCGCCGGGGGTCGAGGCCATTGAAAGGGCTTTGGGGTGCATGGTCGAGGGCATCGGGGCTGATCAAGTGTTGCTACGTTTTGCCCATCTTGACCCTGCCAACCCCGATCGCGAGTGCAGTCTGGTGCTGGATGTCGCGCAGGGATATAAAGGTGCACTATATATTGTCTTCCATATTTCTCACCTTTAATTTCTCCTAGTCGCTACTGCCTCACCACCCCTGCCCACTCTCCCTTTGCTACTCAAGACGCTCAACGAAACAAGAGGTTTCTATGCCTTTGTGCGGGACGTCCGCATGGCCTATCAGACGCTTCTGGATAATCGTTCCTAAGCATTTGATGTACTTCCGGTAGCAGTGGTTTTGAACACGCTGGCTTTTATTCACTTTGTTGTCACGTAATTTGTGTCATTTTCGCATGATCCGACAAATTTCAATTCTCCACGTAGTATTTAAGTGTGCTGATTGAACGCGACGCGCCGATCGCACGTGACACAAAAAAGTTGGATCCTTCAATCCACAGTTGATCTCTACCATGTCCAGTCACGCCCTTGCACACAAAATAGGTACGTCTGAATGAAACATCTATTTATCTCTAATGTGCCGTTTCCAGGATCTCTTATTTTCTGCCCAACATGCGGGACGCTCCTTGCGCTGCCCAGGGACGGCGAGGATGCCGTCACTTGTGAGCAGTGTGGACACCTTGAACCTGCTAGCTGTGCGTATTCTCTCACTTGCTTGGCTCACTAATCATTATCCGCGCACAGCCTACGAAAACACTGAGATTACGACCCGCTCGCACCCTGACGCCTTCCCAAGTGCGTTGCAGCAGAAACGCAAGACACAGACAAAACGACACGAAAAGGGCGACCAGGGAACTCTTGTGCGTGGCCCAACTCGTGCTCTATGTCTAGTTACACTGACATTCGGACAGGTCTCGGAAAAGTGCCCTGCATGTGGACATCTCTCGGCGTATTCGAAAGAAATGCAGGTACGCACAAGACTGGACGGTCATCAAATCTTACGATGCACTGACTTTGTTACAGCTACGGAGTGCCGACGAAGGCTCGACAATCTTCTACACCGTGCGCTCCTTGCCTTTACGTCTCACTAATCTGACTCTATCCAGTGCGCAAGCTGCAAGCACGGCTGGCGCGTCAACAACTAGTGCTTGTATTGGTACTCTCTCTAAACATACACGCCGACCGAGCAGAAGAGGGCAACAACGCCAAAGCCAGCGAGGATGCTGGCGGTCAAAGCAACGGCAGCCTCGCGGGCGGGGATGGTGTCCTTGGGGAGTCTGTAGAGGAGTTGGTAACGTGTTCCATTGTCGTGTGAATAGACATACGTGGAGAAATAGAATGCCAGACCAAATGTGGAGGCCAGAAGGATGGCAGCAATGTAGGGAAGCAGGACGACGGGCACAATGGGTGAAAACGGAGGCAGCGAGGCGTGAAGAGCCTGGTGTGGGTCAGTAAACCGCCAGAGGGCCAACGGAGCTGCGTGCCTTGGTAGAGTCCATCGTGGTTGCGTGGAGGCAAGATGTGCACGTGACGCGTGGCACCGGTAGCACGTGTTTGAGGGGATAACAGGGCAACTGAATTTTGATTCGAGCAACCACCATGTCCGCCGCACAGCAGATCCAGCAGCACCCCGTCGTCGTCCAGGCCCGCAAAAAGGCCGCCCTCTACATCGACCAGCTCGACAAGGAGGTCCGTGCGCATCCCCCCGCCGTCGTCGTCGCTAACGTCCTCCCAGCTCACAAAGTACCCCGTGCTCAGCCACATTGAGCAGCGCACCCAGGTCCCCAAGACCTACGCAGTCCTCGGCGTCATCGCCTTCCTCGCCCTCCTCCATCTCGTCAACTCCCTCGCCGCCATCGTCTCCAACCTCGTCGGCTGGGCCCTCCCCGCCTATCTCTCCTTCAAGGCCATCGAGTCGCCCTCGCCCCACGACGACATCCAGTGGCTCACATACTGGGTTGTCTTTGGCTTCTTCAACTTCCTCGAGAGCTTTGCCTCCTCCCTTCTCCTCTACTACATCCCCTGGTACTACACCCTCAAAACCCTCTTCATCATCTGGCTCCAGCTCCCCGTTTTCCGCGTACGTTTCTGCTTGGCTTCTCCAAAAACCTTCTCCGAGTCTTCTTTCACAGGGCGCCCAAACGACTTATCTGTCCGTTATCAAGCCCATCCTTGCCAACGTCTCTTCTCAAACCCGCGCTACACCTCCCACCACCGCCAGCGCTGTGCACGAGGATTAAATGCATCAAGTGTCTCTCATATCACAGGTCTGCATGTTGTAGTTTAACTCTACTCTACCGAGCTTCTCGCTTTTGTGCTTCGTTATCTTTGCCACTACTTGCATAGACTCTTCCATCTTACCTTTCTCTCTCCATTCACCATTCCATATCATATTGTTATCATATCAGATACGCACAATTTTGCGTTGAGTATGAATAGCTCTATTTACAACCTGCACACGACCGCTGCGCATGCTTCTTTTCGTGTGTGTTTTCATCATTGACGTGGCTTATCATGACGTATATCTTGAGACATTCACTGATCGTGAGCCATGATTTGACTCCTCGATAACACGCATTAATGGGGTAGTGGTAACCTGGGTCGTTGCCATTGACATTAATGTCGACCCGCCGGGGGTTCGATTCCCCCTTAATGCATAAAGTTTTTCTTTTTCCGCAGAGATTATGAAAAAACGGGTCATTTGCAACGTATGGTCATGGAGCCACTTCATGGTTCTCGTTTTTCTACTCTTTTCGCATAATTTCCTTTCATTATAATGTGTAGTGTGGGGTCCACTTCGAAGAACCTGCAGCATTCAATGTACAGACTTCATAAGGCAGGACTTCTCGCTGTACTGAAGAATTACTCCACCATTGCCGCGCTGGAAATTCAATTCTCTAGGTCAACTTCAATCACCCACACTTATTCTACTTGCTCGGTCATTTTACAACTCTCTAACAGGCTCCGTGAAAGCACACCGGTATCATGGTGAACTTTGAACACAACATCAGCACTCCAAGCAACACCGTACACCGAAAGCAAAAACAAGTGGCCCGGGCCTCACGATACATATTTCCACGTTTGCTTATTGCTTACATGCATTAATGGGGTAGTGGTAACCTGGGTCGTTGCCATTGATATTAATGTCGACCCGCCGGGGGTTCGATTCCCCCTTAATGCACTGGCTATGTTTGTATTGTTTTTTTATGTTTTTGATGAAGAACACTTGTACCAGCACCATCACCGGTCACGATGTGAAATAGATCTTCAGAATGAAAAAAAATGCAACATTGCTAGAATCACAAGTACATCCGTAGAGCCTGTCTCAAAGTAAAACAAAAGTAATATCTCAGAGTCCAAAAATATTTCCTGTTCGGCGTTCGCACAATTCCTCTCATTATAAAGAATCTGCAGCATTGTACAGGCTTCATAGGCGCTTCTCGCTTGCACTGAAGGATTATTCCAGCACTGACAATTTCTACCTTCAGTCCGTGCTCGTCATGTCAATTGAAACTCGAACATCTCTATTCAACGTACTTGGTCAGCTTGACAAACCCAACTCGAGCTGATTGCCACATCCTAATAATTCTCAAGAAGCGCTCACCACCAGCACCTCGAGAAAAGGTCAATCATCACCAACACCTGTGTATGTCCCAAAATCAACACCCCTTCATCTCCTTGCTTTCACCCGTAATACGAATGGCACGCCCCTTATACATTCCTAGGCTTCAATGATGCGCATTCATGGGGTAAATAATAAGCATTAATAGAGAAAATGATACGCATTAATGGGGTAGTGGTAACCTGGGTCGTTGCCATTGGCATTGATGTCGACCCGCCGGGGGTTCGATTCCCCCTTAATGCAGTCCTGTAGTGGTGTTGCTTTTGTTCTCCTCGGTGTTGCCTTTGTTCTGCTTCTCAACAAAAAAAACAGAATGACTTTCGTTTCAACGGATAACATCGCAACGCATGTTACTCCCAACTTGATCAATGAGTCCAATGACGTTTTCTCTTCTTGCTAGTGTTCAATTACACCATTTCCTTTCATTTTAACATGCAGTGTGCATCCACCTTTTGTTCAGATTCAATACATATCTATACAAACATTCACCGCACGCACTTATTCAACGTACTTGGTCAGCTTGACGTGCTTCAACTCGAGCTCATTGACCAGATACAACTCCTTAATAATCTCCGGAAGTGCGCCTTTGCTCACAGCATCATAATGAGCCTTGAGCACGACCATCAGTACCCAAGCAAAGGCCATATACATCGACCCAACACACCTGTACACTCTCCCACCCTAGAAGCAAAAACAACGTCCCTTTGTTCTCCCTGCTCTCACCAACCGTAACAGAATGGCACGCCCCCTGCGCAATCATCGCCTCGCGCAACTTGGTCACGAGGTCCATAGCTTCCTTCTCACTGACATCTGGCTTGCGCACCAAAGTAACGACCTCCGTCACGGGCGAGTCGAGCGCGGGCTCTACGTCCACGTCGAAATCGGCGTGCTGGACGTCCGAAGGTCCGGAGTGCGCGCGTTTGAGTGCGGCAAGGAGGGCCGGGTAGGAATCCTTCTTCCTTGCCTTCATATGGTGCTCATAGCTCTCCCATACTGCGACGATGAATTATCAGTGTGAGATTGTGGTCGGTAAGTAATTCGTATACGCATAGGACGTACTGACGAAGCCGTATCCGGTGCGGTTGTCCTCTGTCTGAATGCCATAGTAAGGGGGTCTAATAAGGATAGCCTCCCCAATCAGGACGACCGTCGATCATCTGAATGTCCACACAAACCTTATACAGCCTTCAGTCTTGGCGACGATGCTGAGAGCATCTTTAAGGACGAGATTATCTGCGACAAATTCATCAGAGCCAAGGAACCGTACGATCTCGACAGTGGGCATGGTAGGCAAGTCAACCAAAACGATATGTATTACACTCTCTCTATTTAAGGCGGACCTTGTGATGTGCTGAGTAACATTATTCTCATTTGGTCAAAACCTAAGCCGTCCCTGTGTCCGCAGAATGATCTCTCCTGGAAGTAACAGACTGGCTATCCACAACACTGCCCCATATGAGGATTCGAACGCAACTTAGACGACAGCTTTTGTAAAGACAAAGACACAGTACTGCGAAATCATCGGAAACACTGGTAGTTCGCTCCGATATGGCCATGGGGATCCATACTCATCCAATTCCCAAGAAATCCCACGAGATAACAGAAAACCGGTCCTATTGGCCAATTGGAATATCGGCATATCATTATGGTACCAGACGATTCATAATTGCTCAACAGCTGCTGCGACCAACCTACGGGAAAGGAGAAAAGCGGAAATCTTGTTTCTTTGGACGACTTGCATCAGTAATCCATCGCCTCGTCAGGCTTTATTTATTCAACAAATATAACCAGTTCGATATGATTATCAGAGTACCCTGTGAAGGACCTGAGGTTATCCGTAATAACAGTCTTCTCACATCAATTGAGTAAGTACCCCAAGGAACAGATCCTGACGACCACGGAGACCTTCCCAGTTGATAGACGTGTCATCGCATTTCTTGAGCGCATTTTAAAGAACGAACAACGTAATATAAGGGGATCACTGACGCGTAGGACCGATGTGCTGGAACAATGAACGAACATGGAGGGGGGTTATATAACATTGAGTTGTTAGCTTCACAGGACACAGTAACGGAAGGACATGAGAAGAACGATATATAGAGGATATAGGATTCGAGGCGCGACCGAGGAACACAGAAAATATGAGTGGATGGGGAGGGGAAAAGGGATATGTGTGTGGTATTTATGTGCATGTGGTGTGCGTGTGGTGTTGGTTGTGTGTATGTTTTGACTGCATATCTGAATGTCCGTCCAAAGTTCTTTAACAACGAAGGAGATAATGAGTATAAAGGTAATTGTACGACCGCGGCGTACCAAACAAGCGCATGGAGGAGCAAGGATCTAGCCTAGCCTTTACTACGAGCGACGATCGTCACCCGCGTTTGGGGTATATAGATGGGTCGTCGCTTGATGAGAGGATGGGAGTGATTGGCGGGTATGCACTCGGATCCTAGTGTGGGTAATCTGTGTCTTAATGAGGGTAAATGTCGAGCACATCGGGTTTTGCATATAAAGAACTTGATAATGGATTGTATCCGGAGCCAAGTGATGGTGGTTGTAATGGATCCAAAAAGAAACAAGACGCATAGCCATGATTTAATCACACAAAGAATTGTGTGCTGTGGAAACGTCAGACATACACAGTTTATGACGCAAGAAAGCCGACTTACTGAATACGACTTGCAGCATGTACTTCCATCTCCTCCATCTTATACGAATTGAGCTCCTCCTTGATCCTCTGTGCTAACGCGGGTGTTAAACGACTCCATGTTGCAGGTTCGCTCCTCCGATCGTAAACCGACGCAGGGAACGTGTCATAAACCGACAAATTATTGTCGAACACCAACTTTTTACTGGGTGCTGTCGCAGACCGGTGCGTCAGCATAAGTGGCGCATTCGTCATGGTAGACAGAACAGGTGCCGACGAATTGAGATTAGGGTGGTTAAAGATGGCGTTCGACTTTTCAGGTGGATGTGGGGCTTGAGGATGTTGAGTTTGGGCGAGATTTGTCGGTGTCGAGGGTTGTGACCCCTGTGTTGGGGATTCCAAAGTCATCGCGGTATCGAAAGATAGGGGAGGAAGGGATGGTGGCGTGGACGGCGGGGTATTATGTGATGAATGCGGGTGCTTATGGAGGCCGTCGATCTGATCAGGGTCAGGCGAGGGTATGTGGGCGAGCGGTCCCAATTCTGGGGTATGACCTGGATGTGAATTATAAGAATTAGAGCGCACACGATTCTGGATGGGTGCATCAGTTAGGTACTTGTGCTGATCGTAAGATTCAGCGTCTACAGAAGTCAGGTCAGTTACTCCGATGGGATGATAGGAGAGCGCAACACAAACATTTTAAGATGCCCTTGGACGGCGTACGCGTCCTTTCGACACTCCTTCGAATATCGATGGCCCACGGTTCGTGGTCGTACTCATCACCGTCCATACTCATTCTCTCTAAACCAAAACGGATCGTTGCATCCTCATCAATATCGCCTTCAACATCCCAATCTTCATCGTCCTCTCCCCATCCATCAGTGTGGAAATTGCTTCCTCCCTGCTGAGGCCCGTTGAAATGTCCGTCGTCACTCTCATCATCGTCATCCTCCACCATCACCCTCGTCCCGTCCTCATTTAATCGCATTCCGCCACTACTCTTCTTGACTGGCGACGTCGATCCTTGTCGTGTCGTCGTGTTCTTATCCCAAGCCGGCACACCGGCCCCATTGACACCGTTGGCCGTTATCGGTGACGAGGCAGCGTTCATATTGGAGGCTGGATTACTTGCAGCCGCCGCCGCCGCCTCCTGTGCTGCCTTGGCCTTCGCAGCTGCCTCGGCGTTACTTTTGAGCGTATGTTGCCGCGCAAGCTTCGCCGCCGGACTGAGCCCGTTCATATCCGCGCTCACTGTCCAATCGCTGCGGTCGAGTTCTGCCGTGACATGCGAGACACTAGCTTCGCTCGCCTCTGCCTTGGCTGAGCCCTTCTTATCCTTCTTTTTCTTATCTTTGTCCTTGAAGAGTGATGTGATCCCAGCCAGCGAGTTCCGCTTCGCAAGCTTGCCCATGGAGCCAAGTTTCCTAATCATGACACTCGCACTACTGACGGTAGACGAAAGTGAGATGTTATCGGTACTGATGTTCATCTTTGCATTGAACAAGGATGCTGCGCGGCCCTTCTTTTTTGTTTGGACAGTGGCAGTCGAAGCAGAATCATCGATGGCGTCCGTGGAGCCGCTAGGTGTGGCGGACCCGGTGGACTTGCCCACCACGGATGAGATGATGGCCGGACTCTTAGCCTTCGGCTTCGAGGCCTTGATAGACTCGTCATCGGAAGTCTCCTCCTCCTTCAGTGCCTGAGCAGTATTGAAGGAGAGGGCGCGTCGTAGACGACCCTTAAGTCCGCCACTGCGTGACATGCCTGCATTGGGGGGAGGATCCAACACTGGATCACTGTCATCGCGTGACATCCGACGTTCATTCGCAGTGAAAGTACCCTGAGAAAGAGGAGATGGCCGCACTGGACGCGGGGTAGCCACTGAAGCAGAGGAAATTGAAGAAGCGGTCGCAGAGGAAGTCGTCGTTGTCGATGTTGGCGGAGGCGGTGAGATGCCGGAAGCACGAGCTGAATTAGTCGATGATGTTGAGGAGGCTCTATGATGAGGGATACGCAACTGTCCGGAAGAGCTAGAAACCGACGATGACACTGGGGGAGGCGAGCTGCGATTTGGAGGAATGGACGGAGAAGCGTTCCGAACACGGCCGTTACCATTGACCGACGGGGCGTTATGGGCGCTTTGGCCACTTTGATTGCTGTTAGTCCTTTGGCGACTGCTGGTTGAGTTGACAGAAGACGAAGAACCCGAGGCTTCTGGGCGCTTGTACGGTGGATTTGGGGGAGATGGTTGGGCAGCGGGACGCCTGTCAGCTATATCGGGCGACTGAGCTTGTGGCTGCCGACTAGGTCGGCGGTATGGATGGAAGCCACTAAATTGGGCCTGTTGGCCGGGCTGCTGCTGATGGTCAGCTGCGCCACCTCTGTGATTCTGGTGTGGAGGTGGAGTGCCACTCGAGAATGGATTAAAGGCAGGATTCTGAGTAAAATAGTCATTACTCCGCTGCTGTGGAGGAAAGGCATGCTGGGCGTTGAAGAGCATCTGCTGATAGGCCCACTGGGCCAGCTGAGCATTTGCAGGGTCAAAGTAGGGCGACTGGGCGGGATAAGGCTGCTGTTGATGGTGATTTTGATAAAA